GAGTTCCGGGGTCTCGTGGCTCAGGGTATTCTGTTCTCCTGGGCCGAACAAGCCGGACAAAGTTTCAGCAATCTCTATCTCTGTAGAGAGTATCCAGCTACGAGTTTGTTGTCTCACTGCTGGATCGCACGGTGGTAGAGGAATTCCCTGCATTCGGTCATTGGCGAATTGTTCACTGTTGTGAGTGAGGGTGCGCCCAGAACGCCGACCCAACTCTTCATGGCATGAGATCTTGAAGAGGTCACTGGTTATCCTTACTAAATCTCACTCGACTAAACCTCTGATCTCGTAGGAACTGAGTAGATCCGTTGTGCTTCGTTCGCGCGGGAGTCCGTGTGAAAAAAGCAGAACGGAGAAGAGATCTTAAGGAGGAAACTGGTCGGTCCGGACCGGCTATAGGGATCCGATCTCGAGTGAAACAAAGGCATGAGCCCCATGCCTTTGTCTTTTAAAATTTCTTCTCAATTTCTTCAAAATTTCTTCAAAATTTTGAATTTCAAATTAACGTAATGCCATGGGAGTTGTAAGTTGGACGATGGAAGCGTTGCCGTCTGATGTCGGTTCCTCCTCGTGGTGGACGGTGGAAACGAGGGTTTTACCCTCGGCTAAACGCCGACAAAAATTGGTGCTAGTTTTGGTAGTAATACACAGGGGTCGATACTTCAGTCTACTTGATGTTTCATGACCCCTGGTAGCACCTTTTTCAGATGAATACATCTTTGACTTATAGTTTTTGACCATTCTCACGATTTCTACAACTTATTCATTCATCTTATTGATTTCTATAATATACATATTTCAGGAGACAAATAATTATATGCCTAGAAAAAACACAGATGATTAACAAATTAAATATCAGAACACATGAATTGGAGCATCTTAGCTTTTTCATCAATACGATTTTGATTTTGGGGCTAAAATGCTCCTTTCTCAAATAAAAATTTAGAAGTTTTGTAGTGACGAGCGTCCAAAGATTTGCCATCGATTTTGCGAAGAAATAATTTATCAATTGATCGAGATTTAATCTGTTGGAGAAGAGAAGGAAGAGAAAGATAAAGTAGTAGAGAGAAGGAAGAGAAAGATAAAGCAGTAGAGAGAGAGGAGCAGAAAAAAAGAGAGAAGAAAAGAAGGTAAGGAAAATGAAGGAGGAGAGAGAGGAGAAAAATGAGGAGAAAGGTGTATCGTCTTTCATTGGATGCTTCAGCGTACCTAAATGCAATTCTTTGATACCAAAAGCGTTCCTGATTTTTTTATTATCTGGTCAATGAAAGATTCTATATTATTCCGATGATGTGAATATTCAAATATGTCATTCGAGAGGTCAATAATGGCGGCTTGGGTGCAAAAAGCTAAGATTTTCCTTCATTTTCGGATTATACTACATGACTTCTCTTGAGTTTGAATAGTTGCGTGCTTGGTGACCGTTTTGATTGGCGTTGATACATAAAACATTTTAATGCAAATCTCTGAGAGCACTAAAAAAATACGCAATTTTCCCAGCAATTCTATGAAAACATACAAAATTATACACGATGTTCATTCGTCAGTATCGGTATTGCTATTCAACTTCACAATTTTTCCAGCGATTTTGTAAAAATATAAAAAATTACACATTAAATTTTTTTTCTCCCACTTCAAATAGCCTACAAGGGCTAATCCTGCGCCTCAGTCCCATCTCCCCTCCGTCCCTAACAACCAGTACCAGGCAACCATTATTTGAGACCATCAAACTCAGGTCCCCTGGCCGGGAATCGAACCCGGGACCTCCCGATCATAGAGCTGGCGCTACAACCACTACACCATAGGAGGCCGAATTGAGGAGAAGTCAATTCGATTGACCTACTGGTTACGATAAGAAGGTCAGTTTCTCTTGAGATTATGAAAACCACCATTTTCCCAAAATTTTGAGCAAAGAGTCACATTTAGATGACGTAAAGAAGTTGAAATTGCTATGGGTAAAAATTTGGCAACACGATAGGTACCAAAGGGTGTCTAGCCACTGAGGTGATCCTAGCATCAATGCGTGGGTGGGAACTGTCAACTTATCTGTAGCATGGTCTGAAAAACATGCAAGTATCAAAGCAAGGCCAACTTACTGCATTGAAGAAGTGTGCATTCAATATCTTCCTCCAGTACATGAATGTATTGAATGTTCTGCCAGGTTGAACAGCTTCAAACTTTTCGCTTATATTTCTCACGGTCTTCCGAATATCCGAGGGGTCGCTTATGAAAAAAAAGTTTTTTCCGTTAGTAAATCTCTCAGCTGCAGTAGTCATAATACTTTAATTTCCTGTGACAAACCACAAACGCGTTTTAGAGACTAAAAAAACTAAAAACTCTGATAACCATGTGATAACAGAGCAGACGGCAGACAGACCAATGTTGTTGTTGTTCAAATGTTCAAATGTAAACAATACACTTTTGTGACGTCATCTTCAGTGACGTACAATGAGGAATTATAGAGGTTAGTTTGAATTTGTGATCATCATTGAAGAACTTCATTTTCATTTCGAGTTTCTTCTCCTAAAAAATTTTGCGTTACCGATTTCAACTTTCGTCATATTTCTTTTTCAAAATTTCTGAGATATTTCCTGCTCCACCGCTTTGGAGCCTCAAAATTTGAAAGTCGTCAATCTTAGTCTAAACTAAATTTCATGAGTGTAGAGTGTTACATTGCAGCCCTCTCAAATTTCCATCATCAGATGGTCAAGTTTCTGTGGTACCTAATACATGGATTAAATGTGTGAGTGATTTATGTAAAGGAGACGTCTGATAGACTCTACTGATGGTGCCCGAAGTTCACGCTGATAGATCTGATTGACTCAAGATGAAGATAGAAAACTCTATGCCACCTCGCAGTGCACTTAGCCTATCGTCTCAAATCAATTTGACCAACCAGAAATTGATTCACATTAGTGCAGGCTTAACAGCTGTCATCCTATTCAAATTACTGTTAGACATTTTGTCTCTTAATGTTTCTGAAATTGCAGATAGGCCAAAGTGTCCATTTTGCTACGGAGAGGAATTATGTCCTATCATACAAAACAACTCAATTATAACAAACGCCTCATTTTTAGACAGGATTATTTTCTATGTCAACACAAAAAAGCCCATTCGTGGGTACATGAACAATCAAGATGTTGTCATAAAAAAACTTGCATCGTCTTCTGAGTTTAAGGATCTGGATCGGTTTATATGTGACAAATTCTTCAGTCACTCGAACTCTACAGAATGTTTCAGTAAACCTCTGAAATATTTTGCTGCACTCAATCATATTTATCAATCAAGGAATGTCAGTGACAAATTGGTCTATTGTGGAGGAGATTCGTTCCCAGATGTCATGAACATTTTGAAGATCTCTGATGAAACGCACAGCCCTACTGATAGAATTTTCCAGTATTGGACTCAGGTCAAACTGAATCCAGAGCCTTTGCTACTTCAAGTGAGTAGAAAAATATTTCTATTTAAAGCACCAAATGAAGTTTGAAGGTACTGGTCAATGAAAAATGGGATGCGGTCATGAATTTTTCAAGTATACTAACATTGGAATGATTCAGAATTGTTGTGGTCAGTGATGTACTGCATCGCCCTTTCATCTTCCTATTTTTCATTGACTATTTACCCTTAGTTTTCTCATCTCATTTAATTTGCCTCCCAACAATATGAAGATGTTCATGTAAGAATTCAATGGCAACCGCCTATTTTTCCTCTGAAGAAAGATTCATTTAAATATACTACGTAGTAAACTTGCAGCATACTTATAGATGTTTGAACCAGGAAATTTCCTGTAACATTACCTGTTCATGAAGGAAAATCAAGTATATCAACGGTGTTAGTCTGAAATCACATAACTCGGTTTGCGACGTCGTAGACTCCCTGTCATACTTTATTTTTTAAACGGAAAAGTACTCAACAGCAATTCTTTAAAACTGCCTTGATTTTTCTTGTCTGTGCAAAGAAAATTATACATAAACTTCAAGGAATGATTACAATTTGTTCTCTTATAAGGAAATAACATAAAGGCAGAGATTTTCAGACAATGCAAACGAGACATGTGATTGCGGACTTACGCTGTTGATATGCCAGATATAAACCTGAGGAAAAGGGGATTTAAGTTGAAAAAAATAAAAATTGAGATAACTGTATGATTTTGCATTAAGGTGTTAATTCTGAATCATTTGCCCCAAAAACGATAAGAAATTCCAAAATTTTCTCTCAGAGCATTTCAGGCGTTTTGGGTTTTCAAAGTTATTTGAACCAACACAGTGTTTTGCCGCTCTCCTAAAAAATTTTACAACCTATCTAAAGTCCCCTTGCCTCAGGTGCATCACATATATGATTCTCAGGAGTTGGTGATAAAAACTTTTTTTTTTCATCCATTGTAAGTAATCCATGTTAACTTTTGGCAAGAATTTTATTTGATTCTTTTTTAAAAAAATAGAGCTTTAAAACTTCAAACACAGCATTATAGCAGCATTAGGCACTCAATTTATTTATTGATGCTAGTTGCAAAACTGTTTTTTCTCTTCCACTGTAGATTTTAAAACCAGAGGAAGGCTGGCCTGTACCAAAATACTTCGGAAGCTGTGGGAGACTGATAGTTGTTGAACATTGTGGGAAAGACCTCGCTGAGTTTCTGTATGCTCCTCTGCCTGTAAGAATGAATCTAACTCTTCAAGTGTTGGACTTGGCTACCAATTTCACTTTTGGTCACAAAGACTATGCTTTTTACTTTACTGACATCTCGCCAATAAATCTGGTCGTGGATCAGAAGCACCGAGTTCGACTGGTAGATCTTGAGCATGTCATCATTTCTAATAAAAAATCTTCTAAAGGTATTTATTGAAATTTTTTATCTTCTTATTAGGAGTAAAAGTGTAATCATCCATCCAGATTAACTTACTATTCTTAAGGTTCCGAGTTTGATGACAATTATTTTTACACCATAGCTATTGCAAGCTATTGAGGCGTTTGATTCTTGAACGAAAACTATGTACATCAATGGGCCATCAGAAAAGGTCTGATGTAGAGGAAAATATCACATGTTTTCCCTACAGAATCTTACATAGAAATCAATTCACACAACAAGAAATTTTGAAATCAACTCCTGAACGAGATATTAACAATTAAGTCTTTTCGGCACAGATCGAATGGAAGTTTGATTATACAAATGATATCATTTGTATTTTTGCACTTTAGCCAATGTTAATAGAAAACACTCATATCTTGTTCAGGATTTAATTTTTAGACTTCCCTTGGTGTGATTAGTTTTACTTGTGAAATTTTGAAGAGAAAATTTGTAGCATTATGCTTTAATTCATACCTTGTCTAAAGGCCCATCGTAAAAAAATGAAGAATCAATCATGGAGATTTTGATGAATAGATTATTTTATTGTAGTCTTAAGTTTGTCAGGCAACAAGACACTCAAAAACCATGTATTCTCATAGAAAATTGGGTGCTGCGCTTGTAGTTAATCTTACTAAGATTTGATGGATAGTTATTGTTAAGAATATAACTTGCCCTTTCCTTGTCTCCAAATTTGCCTCTAGACAAGGTATGAATTAAATCACATGACAGGAAACCTGGAAATCAACTCCCAAATAAGATATAAGTGTTTACAACTATCATCGTTCATACGGGAAACAATTTGAATGATGTCATTTTGTATGATCTAACTTCCATTTGATCGTGTCAAAAATACTTTTCCTATCTTGTTCAGGAGTTGATTTTCGAACTTCCTGTTGTGTGAATAGTTTTCTGCGCAATATTTTGAAGAGGAAATGTGTGATGCTTCTAGTTCAGACCTTGTCTAGTGCCTTATCATACCATCTAAGTTTTCATATGTTCTTTTTTGCAGGTTCTTCTGGTAAAAAAAGGAATTTGGACACACCCCATCTCTCAGAGCACATCGAATGTAATGACTGCCTGGCATTTTCAACTGATAAAATCTGCGAACATTCCATTAGCGATCATAACTTTTACGCAGTTTGCAAGGTAAGGTTCATAGGTAACCATAATGCCGTATGACTTCAAACACATCATATTTTCCTGCACCATCATTTCCTGATGTATTTGTTGTTTCATCCCTATCATTTCCCACCCACTGGTCTGTCTCAGTCAACAAAATCAAATATTGTATTGAGTCTGAACAAAAATATTAGTGGTTGAGTTAAATAGTTGAATACAATCTAGATTAGGATCTTCACCCTTTATGTGGAGAAAACTCATAAAGCAATACATAATTCTTTTTTGCTTTATATTGGCAATCTCTGTCTAGCACTATTAACTTTCCTTACTCGCCCAATTTTGATTTCTGAAATGATTAATGCACCTTGCTGAAGAAACCAGCTAATCTTCCAAGGAATATGTAGCAGGTATATCAACGGCCAAATTCTTAGAACTCGTAACTCACTATCTAGGTAATTGCGTTTTATAAAGTCTGTCATTATCATATTTTCATAAAGAAAACCTATCAAGCCTGACTTAAAATCTTCAATAACTGTGCCAGAATGACGGAAAATCATCGAAAATTTCAAGAAATAAAAAAGAATCTGCAAATGAATGTGTAATCTTAAATATGTATGTGAAAAAATCATCTTAGCTTTTAATTTTTTTATTTCATCCTTGTTGTTTATTAAAGGAAATTTTTGGTCCTTCAACTCTTATGCCTGGGGGCTTCTTACACTCTCCATCAGAATGTTTAAAGACCACACCTCCAGGTTTATCTTTTTTAACAAATAACTGCATTCAACCATCAGGCAATTCCACAAGATTGCAGACAGTTGAAGATCTGAAGAACTTAATCAAAAAATGCCAGCTGTAAAATTTCTGAAGGTAAGACACGTCAGTTATGATTAAAGTATCCACAAGAACTAATAGAATAATCTAAGAAAATAGATATGTTTTGCATTACTTGAATATGCCTCATGAGTTGAAAGTGTTAAATTTTTTTGTATTTGCCAGAACCGAGAGTAGAGAATCAATTTGATAGGTAGATAGACTGATAGATGGATGTTTGTTATCTTTAGAATGTGTGATCTCAGCACTGTGATATGTTTTGTGGGTTGAAGAAAAAGACAGACACGGGTTGACGATCACATAGCAAGATTTATTCAGTAAAACACGCATACCAGGAAGGTTGTGCTGTTGAGCACTCTGGATGACAAAAGACGAGTGAGCATGGGCACATGAAGGACAGACAAGGTTCCATACAACGGTTAGACCGGTGGAGCAGGCATTTCAAGAATAACACAGTGAGAATGTTTTGTGTCCATGGTCAACAAAAGAAATTCTCTTATTTTCGTAGATTTCCACTGTCTTCTTTGATTTTTTTTTCTTATCTCTGACACTCCCAACTTTTGTTAGGAACATGCAAGCCTCTTTATTCTAATTCACTTGCAAACAATTTTCCTGTATCCCCCCCCTCCTCCCCCTCCCCGCCCCGATATTTCTCTGATCTTCTTGATTTCCAATATTCTCCCCCACACCCGCAACCACAATTTAAGTCAAAAACTTCATGCAATCCTCCCCATTCAAATTCTTGTTGTAAACTTCCTTTATCCTTTGTTTTTCCCGATCCTTCCCTGATAGTGTCCATCTCCATCAGAAACCAGCAATCCATTTCATTCAAAGTAAATAGCGAGTGCCGGAAGGCTTTCCTCCATCCCCTTTTTTCTGACCTTTTCATGTTTTTCCTGAGCTTTTCCTATTTCCCATGATTTTCCCCGTTTTTCCTCACTTCTGGTGTCCCCCCCTGCACTCTTGAGCTTCGCTAGTTACCTACAATCCACTGCAGTCTAATCCTTTGTATAGTGAATTCACTATATTCCCTGCTTTTCCCAACTTATGTTTTTTCTCCTGACATTTCGCAGCTTTTCCAAAGAAACTAAGTTTTGACAAAGTTTGAAGCATATCAATTGGAGAACCGGAAAAATACCAGTTTTTCGCTGTGTTAAGGTCGCAGTTTTAGAAAGGATTGGGTATTTTGAAAAGGTAGCATCAAATGTGTGTTCAGCATAACCCAAACTAACTTGAAAACCGTAAAATTAGCTATTGTAATATATAAAACCGTAATTTAATAAAATATAATATATATAAAATAAAATAAAACCGTAATATTAAATATTTTAATAGCTACCTATGTTTATTTGTTCTAATAGCTTAAACTAGTAACAGCATAATACTGAAGTTATAACCATTTTTGAAGCAAACCTGGTCACAAGTTACAGAGATATTGTTTTCTGACCATTTCGAACAATATCCGGCCGCCGTTTTGATAGGGTCATGGATACAGACCTAAACTTCCCGTCGAAGTTGTTCTTTTCTCATGCTCTCTCCATTGATGAATCACAAAATGCAAGTGTTGCGATCTGGAAAGAAAAAAAAGAAAAATAAAGTCAGATATCTACCCCCCAAGTTTCAGCTTGGCAGCTTGCTCAACAAAGAAGTTATCGAGAGTGGTGCGGAACCTTTGGATCACGCACACCGGAAAGTTGTCTGCAAGGCTACTTTTTCGCCTTCAATTGAGAGCATAGGCAACAAAGAGTTCCCGAGAGCCACAATAGTTGTATTCACATATTATCTTTCGAATAACTTGTAGTGCGCGGATGGTGAATAAGCGTGTGGCGCGGCGCGCTGTAGCAGTGGTATACACGATGCCAAAATGCAGGAAGTGCATTTTGTCTCTTGTGGAAAAGTGAGTCGAGGAGATCTCAAATGCTCGTTTTCGGACTAACCAATTAGGTAGGAAAAGTTATCGTCTACGATCGTTTTAACCACGAATATGTTTCACGTATATTTTTTCGCGGGTGCAAAAACCTCTCATCACGCAATCATGATCGCGCGGTCGCTCTCGAAAAAAAGGAAAGGCTGAGAAAATCGGAAAGGCCAGCTCGCAGCAGTGTTCAAATCGCGTATTTCTTCGAAGTCCGCATGTTTCTTTATTTCTATTTTTCGCAAAGTCGCAAAAAATTCGCCTTTTTGTTTTTTTTTCTCTTTTTGCCGAATCGCGGAAATTTGTGCGAACAAACGACAGAGAAGATGTCACAGCTGTGACAACTTTGGGAGACAATAGGGTTTCCCAAAATGGGAAGGTTGAAAACTTCCTGCGCCCCTGGAAAAATAACTTCATCCGTTTACCGCAATCCGACTGATACCGTCTAGCCGATTCGATGACACAATGTCTGTTTTATCTATAAAATTGCGATTCGTCCACGCCTTTCTCATGTGGGCTCTTATTCTCTGTCCGCGCGCGTCTAGTTATTCGAACGATGATATGTGTATACAGCTATCTTGGCTCTCGGGAACCATTTGTTGCCTATCCTCTCAATTGAAGGCGAAAAAGTAGCCTTTCAAACAACTTTCCGGTATAAGTAATCCAAAAAGGGTTAAAAGGGCGAGAAGTCGTATGTTTTGAAAATTTCCTAACGTTTGCGGCGATCCCAGGATTGCCAGATCGGGCATTTTCTGCCTTTCTGTTCTTCTTTCAAGTGAAATCAGCGAGAGGTCAGTTGGAATATTAATGGGAATTAGAACTTTGGATCCCTCTTCATTCATCTTTTTGCGGTCCGTAGCGTTAACGGATTTTACTTAGTTCTCTCGCTGCCCGCACCTACAGAGATAATAAATTATCTACTACTACGGACCAGAGCTCCTCCGGCAGATCGGATCTCCTCATTTCTTACCTCATTCTCTCAATCCACGATTTGGCAGGGCGTCCTCTGCGTTTTCTGCCAGGGGGTTAATAAATTAACACCTACGTAAAAATCGAACGAATAAACCAAGAGCCTAGGTTTGACACAAAATTCTCAGCTGATAGAAAGGAAGTCACGGGGTGTGAATGAGTAAATCTGGAGCAAAATACCCGTCCGCAATTTAGGGCTTCGTTTTCCTGAGGAATTCATCTCATTCGATAAAAGCGAATCGAATGGCTAGTGTTTTACTCCTCCTAGTTTCGTCACAGCCACCCCAGGTAATGAGATTAGGAAGCCTTCGCCGTTCAATGCCATCCACGTATCTTCGATGCCTGTATAAATACATTCCGCCCAGATGACAAACTCATTTCCCCCCTCGGAACTTAGCGGGCAGTGTTTTTTTTTTCCGTATCTCTTAACGCAATTTTAATTTAATTTGCTAATTTTGTTTTTGCCCATCCACTTTTATCCTTTTTTTTGTCTTCACCAATTAGTGAACCTCGATAGCATTCAACTTTGTGTTCACTCACTGAACACTCTTTTCCACCCCTTTTTTATTTTTTATTTAAAAAATGGTCGTTAATTTTAAAGTGTTCAAAAAAACCTCCCCGAACGGTAAACTAACGATCTATCTTGGCAAGAGAGATTTCGTCGATCATATTTCAGGAGTGGAGCCAATAGGTAGGTGCCATTTCATGCAGTTGCCCTCTAATCCTGTAACTAAGCTCCCTCAGTATCGTAAGTAAATAAATGGGTCAACCCCTAATCTCGCAGTTTTTGTTTCGAGTAGATAAGTCTCTCAATTTTGTTTTAGTCCGTGGATGGTGCCTGTAAGACTCAAGGAATTTTTCCCAATCCTCATATATGTCGGGAAAAGCTAATGCATTTTGCTTCGAGCCAAAACATTGCAATTTTTAACTTTCAAGGAACTTTACGCTCTGAAGTGTGTATCAGAAACCGTGCCAAAAAAAAATACACTGGAAAGCTAGGGAATAGTCGTGGATTTTTATGTTCAAAAATATCTGAAAAGTCAAACAATTTTAAAATCCAAGAAATCCTTTCACTCTGCAATCAGCGACCATATTACGTCTCGATTCCTTGCATAATTTGACAACTCTGCTACATGCGGAAGATGGTATCTATACTATAAGCTCCAAGACCTCCTAATTTTGCGAAACTGGTAACGCTTAGTTCCAGCGTTCTACCGGGCCGATTTTCATGATTTTTGCGGCTATCGACGAGCAATTGCCTCTAGGTAAGCCAACTCTTTTCAGATTTTCAAAATATGGCCCAGGTTTTTTTATATTACGTGGTAAAGTTGCGAATTCTCCCATTTAAACAATGTAAATTTATACTTTTTGTCATAGTTCGTTTGAGCGTTCTACCGGGCCGATTTCCATGATTCTTGCGTAAATCGACAGGTAATAGGCCCTAGATGAGCCCGCTGTAATCAGATTTTGGAAAAAGGACCCAGGTTTTTTTAAAATCACGTTATAAAAGTGAGTGAGTTTACAGAGTGCTCCGGTACTGCTACCGCTATGCGCGGGAGGATGCGCAGTGGTCGAGGAGGTTGCGCAGTAGGTGTGTAGCCTGCGTATCAGCTCTACACTTATCTACACAAGATTCGCGCGATAGTCCTCACGTAGAGCGGTGGCCGAGTTGTCAGAGACGTCGAATGCGTTCAGCCTGAACACGGTATGGGTTCGATCCCCGACTCATGAAAAATTTGATTAATACCTGACTATCACTGTTCATTGTTTTATTGCAATATTTCATCAAGCAGTCATTCCAAAACGCGTCCTTTTGATTTTAAAGTAATTTTAAGTAAAGTTTAAAATTAAAGTATACACCATATCGTAATTTTTTAGGGGAAAAATAAAACTAACACTGATAGGAGGGTAAAAATAGGGCCGCGTAGCGGCCAGGGGGCGTAGCCCCCTAGTATAATCTATTCTTCGCCTACAGGCAAAATTTCGAGGCACGAATGTGAATGTGGCGCGGGTGATTTGAAACAGTGACCAAAAAACGGCAATTAATTAGCGATTATCAATTAACTGCGTAATGAATCAGCTCCAAATTTCGCCTGTAGGCGAGGAATTAAGTTTGCCAGCCAGAGTGCAAAGGGTTTTGAGTTTCGTTAAGTTTTTGCGGAGATATCTCAAAATAACGCAAAAGTTGAACGGGTTCGTGTAAGATACAGTAGCGGCTCCCATTTTCGTTGTTGGAGATCCCTATAGGCTTGATGGGGTCGCTACCGCCCCTAGTAATAGGATACGATTTTTTTCATATTTCCAAGTAAATGAAACGAGAGGTTCGCGGAAATCTCATCGATCGTGATTTGCATGTTTGATATTCACAATGCGTTGGCGGAAATGTTTTCGGCAGATGGTTTGCGGAAATATGCACCATTTTGCAACGCTGCCAAGGTGCTATACGGCTCATCCGAATTTCGTCTCATAGTAATCGCGATTGTAAATGCAACGTAGAAAACTCTTGAGAGCTAACAACCGCAGCTATATACATTGTACTCAAGAAAGCTCGAGCGCCCGCAATTTGTTGTGTATGCAACCCGGATATCCCAAGAACACGAATAGTTGTATCCACACGCAGTCATTAAAAAAGCTGGAACGTCTTCAATTCTTCCCGCTTATGATAACAAAATGTGATACTTGTTGCATTCATACGTTGTCTTTGAACAAAGGTAGGGCGCTTTGAGTATTTAATCAAATTGATAAGAGGAATAGGTCAATTAATAAGAAATGAAATGGAGACTGTTTATGCGGAAATTTCTCGCCTGCCTTTATCGGAAATCACACACAACTCTGCTACACGCGGAAGATAGTACGAGTATATAATCTATATGTTACGATTTTTTTCATATTTCCAAGTAAATGAAACGAACTATCTTCCTCTGAATCTTCTCATATAATTTACTCAGAAGTATGTAAAAATCGTGTCCTATTCATTATTTACTATCTTTCATCAGGGCCGGATTTACCTACTTGCCGCCCATGGGCCGCCTGTATTTTTCCGCCCCTTCTCATTCGTTTTGGAATATCAATAGATCGTATTCGACATTGGTTCGATGTATCGTTTGGTTCAAGACAATAGAACATAACCTCAAACAAAAATTTTAGGATTTAATTTGGAAAAGCTGAAAATGAGAAAATTCCTAACAATTTCACTTTTCATTGCCATTTTTGGTACCCGAGAGAATAAAAATTCGATCACATAAGACCCGTTACCTCGGATTTCTAAATTGACTTTTACAGGTGTGGTTACATTATTGAATCAATCGATATCAATATAATTTTACCTGTGTGATCTGTCGAATACGATCTATAAAAACCATCAAGTGAACGTGCCGGTGGGGGAGGGGGAGGGTGTACGAGACGCGTTTTTTTGTGAAAGCCGTGTTAACACTGACAAAAGTTCAGCTCCGTAAAACCATCCCTGTTTGGACAAGGCCTTCCACTTATAAAAAACGAACGAACAAATTATGAAAGAACAAACATAAATGTGGTTAATGATTTTACCTTCCGCCGCCGCCGCGCCGACCGCACTGAGTTGGAGCAATGCGTGAAGTATTCGTGCAGTCTTGTAGGCGCTATGCGTTTCACGCCGACCGCTGCTGACTAGTGCTGACCACACTGTTTGGCGCAATGCGTGAAGTATTCATGCAGTCTTGTAGGCGCTATGCGTTTCATGCCGACCACCGCGCCGCTCCGTTCCAGGTCAAATTGCGTGTTTGGTTTCTCTCTTAACTCGACTAATTAAAGGTGTTGTCTCTTGTATCACCGAAAGACGACAAAATTAGAAATTACTATACGTTTACTCTCAGAGATTTTGTCGTCTCTCCTCGTTTGATATTTTTTATCTGAATCCGATTTTTTCTCTCTTTTTTTGATACCTACATTAAAAAAGATTGCAAAATTTGCCGCCCCCTTCATTTTGCCGCCATGGGCCGCGGCCCATGTGGCCACCCCCTTAATCCGGCCCTGTCTTTCATACGTGGCAGTGGTACCAAGTAGTGCAATTCTTCGTTTCCGGCAAAAACGAGTGGAATCACGACTTATCTTGATCATCCCTATTCGCAGGGTGACAAGTTTGCTTGGATTTAACAATTTTCGGATGTTTTCAGACATATTCAACATAAAATCCCTCGACTTTTCCTTGATTCTCCAGTGATTTTTTGGCATGGTTTCTGATAAAAATTCTAATCACTATAATTATTCCGAGCAAGAAGCGGGTCGTGTTTTTTGGGACTGACATGCGCAGTGCCTTTGTGGAAATGTTAGCGGCAGATGATTTGCGGAAATTTGCACCATTTGGCAACTCTGACATGGCGCAACACGACTCATCCGCATTATGAGGATTATATAGTGAGCACAGTTGTAAATGTATTGTAGACAACCCTCAGACCCTTGGGGCGGTTATAGCCATAAATGTTCTGCCGAAGAAAGCCTGAGTGCCTGCAATTTTATGCGTATGCAACCCGGACATTCCAAGAACATGAATAGTTGCATCCATACTTATCCATTGAAAGAGTCGGAGCGCCTTCAATTTTTCCAAAAGTTTTTTGATGCCCAATTAAATGTAATCATTCACTGCATTCACATGTCGTCGTTGCAAGAAAATGAGGCGCTTTGAGTATTTAATCATTTTCAAAAAAAGAAGGAGAAAAAGAAATGAGAGACTAAATCAGGGTTTTTATGCATCTGCAAAACTCGAAAAATTCAGGGAGTTTTTTGTTTTTGTTTGTTTTTTTGTTTACATTCTTAAGTACCATTTTTTTTTTTTTTTTTTTTTTTTTTTTTTTTTTTTTTTTTTTTACTGAGAATCCTGTGGTTTTAAACAGGCATGAGTAATACCTTATTTCATCTCTGGATTTTTACACTAAGTAAATAAGTAAGTATGTTTACAGATGGGGTAATCCTCCTGGACGATGATTATTTAAAGGATAGGAAAGTATTTGGGCAAGTGGTTTGCAGTTTCCGATATGGTCGTGAAGAAGATGAAGTCATGGGGCTCAATTTCCAAAAAGACCTTTACCTTGCCTCCGAGAAAATCTACCCTCCACCAGAAAAAAGAGTGGAAAATCTCACAAAACTGCAAGTAAGTATTTTTGTCTCTCAATCAAAAAACTGTTTCTAAGTATCCTGAATAATGTGTTAAGCCTAACATTTGTGGGTTTAAGCAAATATTGTATTCAATCATTCGTATCATTTGTACCCAAAATATTAAAAAAAATTGATTATTTTTCGGGAGTACCTTAATTTTCCAGAAAATCCTTTCGTATCGAGAAAAGATTAATGGCGTTCTCGGATTCAATGCTAAAAATCTTAGTTGCAGCACAATTGGAGGTGCTTGCCTTTTTTCAAAAGTCCAAAACACCTGTGTCATTTCAGAGAAGATATCATGAAGAATTTAAATCAATTAAGTTTATCAATTTCATGCACATAGGTAGACACAATACATATTTTTGTAGTTACATTATTTTTAAATTAAATTTGTTAAGGAAAAAAAACCCCAAAAAAAAGAAAAGGAAAAACAAACAAACAGAAAAAAACAAACAAACAAACTAGGAATAGGTACTATTAAAGTCATTCCGTTGGGATGATTTTTGTCTTTTTTTGTAACTTCTTACCAGAACTTTCGTGAAATAAAAAACCATTTTGTACTTTCAAAATCTGTTTTGTAGGAACGTCTCATGAAAAAATTAGGACCAAATGCATTTCCTTTCATATTCACCATCCAACCTACAGCACCAGCATCTGTCACTCTCCAACCAGGACCAGAGGAAGAGGGACAGCCTTGCGGTGTTCAGTACTATGTTAAAGTTTTTGTTGGAGAAAATGAAACAGACCGAACTCATAAAAGGTAGGGACCAATTTTAATTATGTAAGTAACGAAAAAGCGGCTGTTGTGCAAAACCTCATATCTCTCAACTGGTATCTGTAGACCTTCATGTATCTTTAATTTTGACTCTGGAGCCTTATAAAGTTATAAAATACAGCGAAAATCTCCATAAATGTGAAGAAAAAGTCCAGTAACAATTAACTTACAGTAAACAATAAGTAACTTACGTAACAAATTTTGTAACTTACTGCAAAAAACCAGCAAAATGGACTTAGAATCAGAATGGTTTGCAAGAACGAGAAAAGCTAGAATATGAGAAAATAATGTGAGACGTTCATAAAATTCCTACTTTTTACTTTCTGCTCTGAACTCTCTAGATCATACCTAGTGATTTTATTTTTGTCATTTTTGCTTTCAGTAAATTTTTTTTATTATATTATGTGTATCATTTTAGGAGTACTGTTGCCTTGGGAATTCGGAAAGTCCAATATGCTCCATCAAAGCAAGGTCGACAGCCGTGCACAATTGTTCGGAAAGATTTCATGCTAAGTCCTGGAGAGCTCGAGTTGGAAGTGGTACTTGACAAACAGGTAAGATATTAAGGATGATTTTCTTTTTATATACGTTTAAACAAAAATCACTCATCTTGAACTTTTACTCGGACATTGGAATTAAAAGAAGTTATTTTTCATTCTTGACCTTCCTCTATACCCTTCTAATTTTCAGCAGAAATGCAGTTACTTTATTGGAGCAGAAACATAATGTCATCCACATATTTTTTCCAGTTTGTATGAATGCTTCTTTCCCAATCTTGAGAAAGACAAGAAGAACAATACAGTTTAATATTTTCCTAAATTCTAAAGAATGTTGTCTACTCTGAAAAATTGAATTGATGAATTCAATAATGACTCGTTTCTGAAAAACTAAATTTTTCGAGGAAACAATGGAAACTGTATGACATTCGAAGTCAAAGATCAGCCACATAGGCAGATTATAGGTTTAAGTAACAGACATTGATCTCCTGTCTTTTGCTGATTAATATTTTTGTTCGCATTTTTCCACAGTTGTACCATCATGGAGAGAAAATTGCCGCCAACATCTGTATTCGAAATAATAGCAATAAGGTCGTGAAAAAAATCAAGGCGATGGTCCAACAAGGAGTCGATGTTGTCCTGTTTCAAAATGGTCAATACAGATCTGTCGTCGCAAGCCTTGAAACTCAGTTAGTTTTCATTCAAATGACAAAGATACTGATTCCCTATTATTTTGTTTTAACCAATGTCCAAAAGGATGATTTATGAATTTAGCTTGACTTTTGATAAACCTTGTCTTTCATTTTAGGGTAAAAATTCAAGTAACTACGAAATTAAGTCATCAGAATGATTGTTGAAAGCTGATAAGAGCCAACAGTTTTCAGTGTTTTAAAAATGCTTTTGGGCATGTTCGGCAATGCTATCCAAGATTACTATTTCCCATCTAAGAAATGCAAGCACTCCGGAAAAATGGGTCATCTTCACACTGTCTGAAACCTGCCTATGTTGCATTGGGTTTTATCCTAATATTACCCCCTGTGGGAGTTTCAAAAAAACTGTTTTTGAAAAAAAATGGAGGTTGCAGATGACCGTAAAAACTATTTCTCCACAACCAAATGAATTTTTGAAATTTTTGGAATTCGTTTGTCCTCCGACTGAACATTCGTGAAGTGACCATTGTATTATTTTTGGGAGAACCCTCATATTTCTAACATTATTCTACCTGTTTCTTAAGTTAGAAGTCAAAAGTGTACAAGATTCAAGTTCCTCTTTTGTTCCCTCTAATCTAAAAAAAAAAATTACCAAATTATCATTTGAGGCAATTCTTTACAGGCCCTGAAACAATTCCTCATGGAACTCTTTTAAACTCTAAATAATAAGATTTAAATTTCTTGTTTTTTATTCAATCTGTAGTGTAAATATTTTTTTTTTCCTTGATTCTAGAGAAGGCTGTCCAGTCCAACCCGGCTCGAGTTTACAGAAGATCATGTATCTGGTTCCAACGCTTGAGTCAAATAAAGATAGACGAGGTATTGCCCTAGATGGTCAGCTGAAGAGTCAAGAAGCTAATCTCGCATCCTCAACATTGTGAGTATTTTTACCTGAGTGAAGGAGAAAGTAACCAATTCATATTTTAGAAAAAAATAGCTCAGAATAATTTATTTTCTTTGTTCAAAAACTTGGATGTGTACTTCGTCAGAGTATCAAATTATTAAGGTCATACTCATTTTTATTTCAGAGTTAATTAGGAAATTTGGGTCGACTGCTTTCCTTTCACATTGATCCAAATCTTTTTAAGGTCTTTCTCTATGTTCTTTCCGGTGCAAGCACGACTTTTTCTTTATGAAAGACTTCAAATTATGGGAGAGGAACCAAATTATTTGATGTTTTAATTCCTTCATTGTCTACTGGTTCATTTTTAATCATCACTCAGTGGAAAAAGAATAAAAAGAAAGAAGGAAAAAAACCTCAGGAAATATCAGCTTTGGCTTCGAAAGTCAGTAGTAGAAGCAATACTTTTCAAATACCTACTTAATGTTGGAGAGCAAAGATGGTTTTCAGAGCTCTGAGCAAAGTTGTGCGATTTGTAAAAAGTACCGTGTCGTTTGATCTCTGTTTCAGAGAATTTCTTAGCCTCAAGGTACTATGTATTCTATCTATTTCAGGTTGGCTAGTCCTGACAGACAAGATACCTTTGGTATCGTTGTTTCATACTCGGTCAAAGTCAAATTGTACTTGGGTGCATTGGGTGGAGAATTGTCAGCGGAACTGCCATTTGTTCTTATGCATCCAAAAGTAAGTATTACATCAAATGACTAGATTAGAAAGGACAATTCAGCTACTGTGTACTTTTGGAGTTTGAGTTGATTCAATTTTTGAGGACCATGTTTCATGGACAAAAAAGTTCCCCCTTTTATTGCAAAATTATCCCTCAAATTATTTTGGCAGTACCCCTGTATATTATCGCACAGGGGCAAAATGGAAAACTGGAGCACAGGCTCTATTCAGCCCTAAAAAATCCTTGGGTTTTTTTTTTCATGTTAATGTTCATAAAAGTACCCTCTTGATTATCGGATCTTTTTCCAATCTCAAAATTTAATCACCAAATTTATTTGAAATTTAGCTGATACTACTCAATTTCTGTTCATGTGCTATTGTTTTGATTTTTTCAAACAAAAATTGATTTGATTTTGACTTTTTTTCTTTGGTTTGGTATGCATTAAGCATGTGATCTGTATAAAAATATGATATTCAAGGCCAAACAATTGTGTAATCAGTAGCTCTGTTCAATCTCCTTAGTAATACAAAGAGAATGTTTCATTCTATTAATTTTACTCATTTTCTCTTTTTGATTTCAGCCAAATGCAAAAATTAATGATGTACAGACTGAAAAGACAAACCTTCCAGCCAAATGATCTGCTGGCAATGGGATTTTCCATTTTTTTCTTTTTTACTGTCTTAGAATTTAAATACATTAATTTTGAAAACAGTGCCACCCTCTTTGTTAACAATTAATTATTTTTCTCCGTTACACTGATTTCATTTAAACAGATGTATCCAAACTATCAAAAACTCCTGTTGCAAGAACCTCAGCTTTTTCTACCATTTCCAAATAAATTGATTCATTTTTATTTTCCTCTATCTATCTTCCATTAGCAATAAGTTCCTGAATACCAATTGATACCTGCATAACTAAATTAAAACTATGTATGCTCAAAACAGTCAAAAACATTTGTTTCTCCGGCTAGGAAGCCTGACAGAGCCTTCTGGCCAAAATCGAGAAAAATCAACACAAGTTACATGAAGTAAAATTTTGGGGTCAAAATCGTAAGTTCTCTGATTGGGTGGAAACCTATCGAGTCCCCTGTAAAATGAGTCAAGAAGTCCGAATTTTTTGGTCCAAAATACTCCTTGCGTTGATCTGTTCTCACAAACAAGATTAAGTGGCAGTATGCTAGACAGGATTTGTGAAAAAGGGTGACCTAAGTTTTTAAGAATTTTCTGACACATTTTGTGAAATCTGAACCACTCAAAAGGGTGATTTTAGAGTAAAAAGTGAAAGCATTTTTAAAATTCTCATTCAGCAAATCATTAGAGGAGTTTTGGGTGAAAAATTTCCACACACTCCTTGGACTTATTGGCTTTTTTTAAAAAAAAACTTCCAAAGTTTATAGTCATGTCCTAGAGAAAACGGTTCCCTGGTTGAAAAAGTTAGCAAATTGATCTGAGATTTGATTCATAAACAGAGTAAAGTATAGAGGAGCTATAAACCAAATTCCTGGTAAAAGGGCGTAAATGCCCTTTAGCCTTTCATCTGGAACGCTCCTCAATCATTTAAAAAAAAGAGGATTTGCAAAGGTATGAAAATTTATTGAGATGAGAGGAGGTAGGAGTGCAGTAACACAATTTTTGGAGTGTAAAAAATGTTAAACATGTATTAAAACTCAAGACAGTTATCAGAACATAATGAATCTTGTAAACTTATGGTATTGAAAAGATATAATGGGGGAAATTTTACAAACGCTAATGACTAGAATATCTAGAGAAAAAAAATAAATAAAAGAAAAAAAACCCATTATCACTGAACTAAAGCTCACGTTAACGTCAAAGGCATTCAGCAAGGAAAAAAAAATACAGGGGGAGGGGAGTTGGGTCTGTTGAGAATTCTTTTGAATCTCTGATACAAAATACTTCAGCCTTCCTAAATGACGATATTTCCTTCATAGAAAATAATGTAGAACAAAAAAAAAAAAAAAAAAAAAAAAAAAAAAAAAAAAGATAATACGACACAAAAGAACAAATTATGGAAGTCATGGATCAATGGACCCTTTTCCGGGGGAAAAAAAACCCCTGATCCGCAACCAATGAATTGGTTTTGTAAGTTGGGAAAACAGTTTTCAAATTGTTTGTGAAAAAACGCATTCATCTGAAAAAGCGAAGCTTGGAATGTTACACTCTGTAAAAGAATACTTTGTAAACTTTAATCTTAGTAAATTCGTAAAAACTGCTGTTTACAATACTTGAGCTCTTGATGATGCTAGCTTAGGATTTCAAAATGGTGAAAGTCGTAACTCCTCTAGTAAATAGATTCCATTTTTTATTAGAAGTTGTTTATTTTATTTTTATGCACGCTTCTGGTTTTTTTTGTATGTGTGCATTTCAACAGCTGATTAATGATCAATTCTGTTATCATCCTCTGATAAAGTCCTTGCCACTTAAGTTTACACACTTTTGGACTGTAACAGAAGATGCACTGACATCAGTTTAGCATGGAAAGAAAATTCAAGAATCAAGATATTGGATTTTCTGTCTTAGTCTAAAAGTGCGTAATCTTATTAGGCGTGGACTTTAACTGATTTATTTATCTCCAACTGAACATTACTGAAGTTCCAAAAAATATTGTTTGAACAAACACATGACTATTTCACTTAGGGAGAGAAGAGTTCGTAGGAGGGATCACTGATTTGTCCTTATTTACTTCTTAAAAATGTCTTCATTTACAAAGTATTCAAACTTGATGGGAAGCTGAAGGCATTAATCAAAATCAAAGTATGTTTTCAAGATGAAAAACATAAAAACACTAAAGGATTGACAGACTGAACTGGTTAAATTAGCGAACTGAATTACATACCTCAATGCATTGGGAAACTAAATGATACAACCATGGAGTGTAAGACTAAAAGTTACAATGTTGTGCCTTTTAATAATTATAGATACTTGAAGATGGTAAGTTCTAATAAGTCATGAAAATTTGAGAAGTCATTTCGACTTTTGATGTAGGCATAATATAGACGTTCAAAGAGGGTACATAAAATTAGTATCCATCTATGCTTATGATTCCCTTTTCTTACGGTACAGAAAAAGGCTTGCATGGGTGACAACTGATACTACGAGATCTAGCTAGAGAAATTTCTGAGAAATGTTAATTTTTTCTTAGTCACAACTAAAAATAGGAAATAAAATGCTGTCTGACGGTACAATATTACTAACTGGGAAAACTAGGGAAAGAAAATAATTTTAAAAATGCCGAAAGTACAAAAAAGGAAACATTTTAGTGGGCTCCATACAGAGAAAGCAAAGCGTATTTTCCAATTACAAATTTGCTAAATTCTAGAGCATTGGAGAGTAAAGAAAAATTTCTTGCATGATTTGGAACTAAAAATCTTCAAGTTGTTGAGTTATAGTCGGGGTAGAAAGGAGTATGGTCCAGTTATAAAAAATAGTACTCATGGGTCGAAAAATAATTAATAATACATATGTGGCACACTGATGTTATACATTTTAAATTAAAGAATGCTTCAATGTGTAATGGGAGAAAATTACCTATGTACAGAAATTCACCTCAAAGTAATGGTCATGCGTAGTTGTGATCTAAAAAATACTTAAATTATGTTTTCCGAGAAGCTGAATGAAGCACATCCAAAATGCATTAACTGGAATCATATTATACGAGGTAAAAAGCTTTCAATTTAATTCTAATCTTAGAAATACTGATATCAAATTCGTCCTGTGACTCACAGGACATTAGAACTTTATTGTTGAGAGGAATGGAGAAATTTTCAGTGGGGGAAATAAAAGAAAGTTTTTTCTTTCTTTCCGTGTGAATTCTAACCAAACATGACAGCCTGAGGAAGGAGTAGGGCGCGTTGGTCAGTGCTCACAGGATTGATTGAAGCTCTGTGCCCCTTTTTCTTAAAAATTTCGCACAATCGTAAAACCTGATTCTCAAAGCAAAAATTTGAGCCTGAGAAACAATGCTACGGAGTTAAGGAAATCTTTGTTAGAGAAATTTTTTTCTGACAAAAAAAAAATATCCAATTTTCATTAATAGAATGCTAAACAGATGGTGTCATGCCTTTCAATTTGACCAATGTTAAGCAAAATCACTAAAACTTGTCTTGAAGGCTTGTTTGTTTCTTGTGTGAAATTCTTGAAAGGGAAATTGTGATATAGTGCCGTAATTAATCATTCTCCTTCTGGCTTAATACTTTTTCTGGACGAGCTAATTTTGAGTCTTAAAACAAACTTAATGAAAAGATATAATTTATCCTTTCTCCCTCTCTTACCAAATAGCGGAAGTACTTTCATTCCTTGAGGTGAGCAAAACGCAAGATCTTTTTAGAACTAATTGTAATGAGCAACTTTTTTGAAGAAAAAAAAAATTCTCAGTTTGATTTTTGGGGACAGAGATTAAATCTAAGAAATCTGACATGAAATATGCTAGAAGTCATTAAACCAAATGAGAACTATTTACAGGGCAAACATCACTTCTACATTTACAAAACAAAATTACACAACAGAACACCAGTGATGCGTAAATTAAGTAAAAAAAAGAAGTAAATTAAAATAATAATGAAGCCTTACACATTATATTATCATTGACTAAGAAGTTATCGCTAGGGTGGATAAATAATGTTTATACAGGGAGATAAAGCTGTCGCTTTATCTGCATCTTTGGAGTATTTTGTCTGACTTTTCGAAACTTTCTCAAACAACTGAGAACTTGAAATGGCCTTGTCGGAAGGCTGACATTTCATGATTCCAATTAGTCATAAGACACATGAAGTATCAAATGCAATCGCTTTCACAGTGAAAAATCGAACACTGTGTAAAAACAGAATTAAAGAAAAACCGTCCGAGGGTGAAACATCTGGTTGTTTATGGACCATTTGGAGATAGTACCACACAAACTTCTATTGATCTTTTTCCTTTCATGGTTTTCATCATTGAAGTAAAAAAACGGAAATATTTTTTCAGTTCATAGTTCTCAGATTTTCAGAGACAATCTGGTAAACATGAGTCTCAAACTTTCTATTTTTATTGAGTAAACATTATTACTGTGCTTTTCCTTCATCATTCTTATTAATGATGTTATCAGAATCCTCATTTGGAGGCCTGGTAACTGCGTATCTTCAAAAAAAACCTGAGTAAAGAGAGCTTTTTCAGCTTTCATGTGCACTAAATCAATGTAAAATTAAAACTCTTAAGTATTAAAATAAGAGCAGTAACTTATTCCTTGATGAGTTATACATTCTCATCCACAGAGCTCCATTGTTGAAATTTTACAGAAAGCAAATATCAGGAGTAAAATGGCAAAAAGCATCTTAGTAATATATGTATATGTATATGATAAATATATGATAATCACAAATTCATCAGCCCTACATAAATAAGATTAAAAACGAAGAAAAAATAAAAAAAGATGGTGGCTATGAGTGAAAAAAGTCCAAGGATGTTTTGGAAAATTACAAAGCCTTTCCTTGTCATTAAAAGAAAATGAAACAAGAGCGAAAACACAAATGACTCAAACTAATTCAATTAAGTTATTAAGTTTTCATACTTTTTTAACGATTGATGAAAAGTTTGTAAAAATTCAAAATGCACCATTTTATCTTACACTAACAGCCACTCTTTACCAAAAATTTTCCAGTGGTCAAGTAGAAAAATTATAAAATGCCTCTATCATAACCCCCGCCCTTAAAAAATTCTGCGCATCACATATGATATAAGTTGGAAAAAATGGAGGAAAACAGATAAATTAATCAAAATTTTAGTAAATGATAAAAATTTAAAAGAAAGAAATTTGGTTTATGAACCATTGTTGTGAGGTAACGGACGAACTAGGTAAAGTTTTTCTCCTTGTTTATTAGTATAGATTGGAGCTCTTTGATAATGATCTACTAACTGGTCCAGAGTGTGGAATTTTCGTTGGCCAATGCAATACAAAGCACCCTCCACGTGAACTCGGAAATGTTTGTTGCGACCAGGTGCTTTCAACGATACTGAATAGTCTCCCATCTGAAAAAAAATTAAGAAACATACAATAATAATTTAGATACTTTTTTTTAATATTGAGTATCCTTACTTATAATTTAAGAAGAAAAGAAAAATTGAAGTATATTGAGTTATGTCTAAGTGCCGATTTTGAAAAATTTTCGGTAGAACCGTACATACTGAGAGGCTTTCTTTTAAAAAACTAATGCCGGAATCACACACTGAATTTGGCAGCTGATTATACATGGAAGTCAACAGTCATCACTCAACAGCTGAAATTTCACAAATTCGAGTTATTTTCATCCAGATTTGTGTCAAATCTACATATTTGAATAGTTCAAACAGATCCGACATTATCTGAGGGTTGCTAAGTCTCATTGCTGAATTGTGCGTGTGTTGCGCAGAATTCAGGCATCTGGCCGATGACTTCCACATTCAGCGTGTGATTCTAGCATAAGAGGGTTTAAGAATAATATAATTGTACAAAAAAGGCAACAATATTGCCAACTTATTTAAAAAAAGTCAGATTACTCTTAACAAAAGCTCAACAGATGTAGATTCGGCCATGCTCAGCATTTAAGTGCTTTACTAAAAATTTTGCAGACTCGTCTCTTCCTGTTTCATATAAAAGTTTTACATTCTACATTTACTCAAAAAGGATTCTTTGATTATTCCACTTTTCCATAAAAAAGCTAAATTATATTCCATGGAGAAAATTTAAAGATACCTTGCAGATTCTTCAAAATTAAAGTTTTTTCCAGAACAATAATGCTCGTAAAGCATGTTAACCCTTTCCGGTCCAACATCAGATATATTCGCCGTGAAAAATAACGCATTTAAGTCCGATGTCGGATATAGTCGCCCAAAAGTTTGAACTTCTGCGCAGGCCCGATGTCGGGTATATTCGACTGCTCCAGCAAGGGGCGGCCTCCGGTGGACCCTTTGGAAACCCCTGTCTTTGTTGACAACATTGCTGCTACCGTAACCTCGCTTCTCGCAGCTGTGGAAAATTGCCGCCGACCAGAAAGGGTTAAGTTGAGTACAAAATTTTAATTCTAGTGAGAAGTCATTGTATTGCCTCTGACTGACTTCACTCAAGACTCTGAAATTTTAACAGAGGTCTAATGGGACCCTTGTGCGTAGAAAACGTTGAGAACTTAAAAAATTGTGATAAGATGGATGAATATCAAAAAGGATTACCTTAAAACTGAAGGATAGGTTCTGAAAGGAAATTACTTACATTTGTTTCACTATCTCTGATAAGAAAATCACCATCATGGCCATGAGTGTTAAGAAGATTGTCACACTGTGCTCTGGTGATGGAGCCATAATACCACGGTTTACCCGCCAGATGTGGTCTCTCAGGAGCTGCTTCTCTCACATTTCCCCCACCAGAGGGCATCGACTGTGTTAGATATTCACTCAACTCCTGACCAAAAATAAAGAGAGTTAGCTTTATAATGCCATTGCATAGACAAATAAATAAGATTGTACCAAAGAAAAGCTATGATGTCAGATCTTAAGTATCAAATTACATAAAAGTTACAATTCTCAAAACTTGAACACAAACTTTGTCAGTTTTCTGACTGCCCCGTTATTTAAACCAAAAATTACTACAATGCTAACTTTACCATTTAGAAAAATGGCAAAAAATACAAAATATTTGGAGCCAAATCAAATTATCTATTGAGGGATGAAAAATATAAAAATATCCTATGTATTAAAATGCAAAGTTCCAAGTCTTTGGATGTTAACTTAGAGAGAACCACCGGACCGATTTGCCTGATCTTTTTTTTACATGAAAGCCCCTGAGCTGGAGATTTGCAGGCTGTAATTTGCTTTTCGATTTTTTCAGATTTTCTCCTAGAATTTTCTCAAATTTTCTTCAATGCATTAAAACGGAGGTCCGAATCTTTGGACGTTAACTTTGAGAGAACCACCGGACCGATTTGCATGATTTATGTTTTAAATGAAAGCCTCTGATCTATAGATTTGCAGGCTGTGGTCGTTTTTTCGATTTTCTCAAATTTTCTTACGTTTATCGACGAGTGAAGTTTAACTGGGCTTGAATTTTCTCCCAATGATTCAGAATAAATTCCGAATTTTGGGACATTAACTTTGAGAGAACCACCGGACCGATTTGCATGGTTTTTTTTTAAATGAAAGCTTCTGATCTGTAGATTTGCAGGCTGTAATTGTTTTTTCGATTTTCTCAAATTTTCTTACTTTTATTAACGAGTCAAGTTTAGCTGTTTCAAGCGGTCGTCCGGCCGCTACCTGCTTGCCAGTCCCTAGGTACCCCCCCTCTACGGTCTCAGCCACCCCTCCCGCCACGTTCTTTCGGCAATCTCCGTTTTCTTTTGTATAGCTCTCCTCCCACCAACCTCAAAGAAGGAGGTTTGGGTCACAGCATCATTCGTCACTCGCCACCCACATTCCTTCGCAATCCCTCGGCTGCTCTGCTTCACAGCTTCTTGATATCCTGGCATCTTATTCTCTGCGGCTTGACTGACCCTGACTTATTAACTGCAGTATTGCATATTGCTAACATCTTGTATTGTTACAGACATTTTATTCATCATTATTAAATAGATTCAACTAATTGCTCCGATTCCAATTAAGCTACTGCACCACCATTGCTAGCTGTGGAGGGCGCCCGGAGCAGCATATATATTTCGCGTTCTCAAGATTCAAGGTACCATGATTAAAGGAGCTGTGTAAACCTTAAAAAGGTGCAAACCACAGATTAGATTCCATTCAATCTTACAAGGGAGGTTATGTAATGTCTCACCTAAATTTTGATCACATTACAGCCTAAAGTTCCTTCCTATAAACCACTTGCTCACAAATGGGCTTCGGAAGTTCCAAAACGAAATTTTTATAATTTGAAATGTTGCCAAAAAGGGTCCTTTGTTGAAGTGGCAAAATTGTGCGCTATCATTTCACTAGCCGCAGTGATGCAGCGGCTAAAGGGGTCATGTGTCAGGCTGTGGGTCTGGCATTTGTTTTCTGGAGTTTCTACACAAATTTTATCAAGGTTCTCTGGTGGCTCTATTTTTATTTTTCCTTACTTCCTTCAACTTAACTGCATATGTAATGGGTCAGTTGTGCTGGATACAGAATCGTGTTTAGCTGGCTTAAACTTGTGGATTAGCCAAAAAAAATACAATCCCTTTCCAAGATTCTATGTCAAATATTAGCGGAAATATTGCTCATCAAAAAACATTGCGTATGATGTCAAACACAGCAAGGGTGCACACCACGATTTCTTCCACCTTTTCATCAATCAGTAATACACATATTTGCATTGGTCACTCAACGTAAAACACAGATGAAACCAAGAAGGAAGAAATGATGATATGCACTATACCAGGGTGGATATAGTCATACGTTATGTTTTCCGTTTTTATAATTGATTATAATAATACAAGAGAGTGTTGCTATCACTGCCAAATTCTGTTTTCCTAACTGTGGTACTATTAATATGGAAAATTGTGTTGGCAGAACTAAATGAGAGAAAACAAACCTGAAGATAGTTTCGAGGAACAAGGCCAACTTGACCTTGATTATTTCGCGCTTTGTACCACTCTGGGTCAGCCGGTGGGCGGTCTAGAATCTCCAAGCGATCACCTTTATCAAATGACAACTCTTGATCACTATTGGCTGTGAATGGATAGAGAGCAACTACAACATCCAAAACGTTTTCTGCCATGGCATATGTGTGTATGTTGTCATCTTGTTCTTCCTCTTGTGTATAATTGCTAGGAAACCAACCCTGCATACAACCACTTTGTCCACGCCACCATCTGAAACGCAGGCATAAATTGATGAAGATTACAGCATACACATTGGAAGAATTCATTCTGAAGGACAAACAAGGGGAGCGAGAAAGTAAAAATTTAACAGCCATGCTTCACTTTCATATAAATGATAATGAACATGAAATAGTTAAGTTTCACTTTTTTTCAAATTTCAAAATTTTCAGGCTTCAGTGTGCTTTAAGTGTCACTGGGAACCTTGCATCAAATTTGGCTTACCACTCTCCTAACCCCCCCCCCCCCCCCCCCNAGTGAAATTATATTAGGCCACGCCCCCTCCCCCCTTCCTTGAACCTTGATGTCATTTACAGACAGTCCCCAAAGATACTGAAACAGCAGCGAAAGCATACATTCACAAATTTGACGATCTTTACCATTCTAGATCATATTTTAAGCCACACAGATTGAAGTGATAATATTTCTCCTAGGCACTGGATACATTACCCAATTACCCAAAATAGATTACGTCACATCAATTTTAACACAAAAAGTGAACTTGTAGACACAACAATTTTACTAACATTACATTCTGTAACTTTCACTATAGTTCCTGCCACAAAAAGTGGCACGTGAGGGGCGGAGCCAGGCAGCCGGTCCAGCCTATAACTGAAGGGTTGAAGCGGAGGTATTGGCCCGTAAGATACCGACTGGCTCCACCCCTCACCCACCACTTTTTGTGGCGCGAACTATAGTGAAAGTTACAGAATGTAATGTTAGTAAAATTGTTGCGTCTACAAGTTCATTTTTTGTGTTAAAATTGATGTGACGTAATATATTTTGGCCAATTTGGTGAGGGGCGGAGCCAGTCAGCCGGTCCAGTCTATAACTGAAGGGTTGAGCGCAGGTATTGGCCAGTAGTTGAGACAAGGTAACGATTGGGCCAATACCTGCGCTTCGACTCTTCAATGATAGACTCGACCGGCCGACTGGCTCCGCCCCTCACCCGCCACTTTTCGTGGTGCAAACTATAGACATTTTTTTTCTTACTAGGTTTTACAATTGAGAGACAATGAATTCCCAAAAATCAACTAAACATTTGAAGTCTTCACTGGTCAACATTAGTGAAAATGTACAATTTTTAAGCTATGGAAATCGATGGCTTAATGCATTATAAGTACGTGAGTCAATACCTAACAACCATTTTCTCAAATATTTCATCACAGGTATGTATAATAAAAAGGTTGTGAGAATATTCAAAATTTAGAGAAAAGTTTCTCCAGCTCATCTTGAGACTTACCCATCATTACTTTTCTCGAGAATCAAAATTCTGGTGCCTTTGATGAGAGATAGTTCATCAGGTTGCTGGGCTTGATAATTATACTTGACAACAGCTGTGCCGATAGCTTCAGATGGATCTGCGTGCATTCTTCTTGACATTGATGGCGAGTCTATTCCTCTTGATGGTGTGTTGGCACAGGGAAGAGTTTTAGAACCACTAGTGCTTCCGCTGCCACTTTTCTTTACTTTCTTCTTAATACTATCGAACAATGAAGGTTTTTCTTTCTTGACATAGTTACTTGGTACATATCCACCATGGCCGCGGGCATTTTGGACTCTCCACCAATGTTTAGAGTCGTCCAGTAACAAGTATCTTTCATTTTTCCTCAGATCTAACTCTTGTGCTCCCTGCGCAGCATAATCATATTTTGCTACAACATAGCAGAGATCATCTGAATTGGATTTACCTGTGGAAACAAAAATTGATTAGTGATGATTAGGTATAAAGTCTTCCCGCAGGAACTAAGCAATTGAATTTTCAGAACCAACAAATTGTTCATAGAAAGTTTAAAGTGGCATCCACTGATTCAAAGTCAGACCAGACATTGCCCCATTTTGTCTGAATGACTTTCACGATTAAATACTGAGAACACAGAAATTGGAAACTGTTCTGATTTGACAAAAAAAAAGAAGAAGAGAGAACAAAGGAAAGAAAGCGGTAAGAATAAAATACTGTAGTTTGAGCTCAGTAAAGTTAATGGGTTTTGAGCTTTAATGATTGTGCTTCATTTTGGAAAATAAAAAATGGACCATCTGTAAAAATCCATTCTGTTCGCATTTATTAATATTTGTCCATTTATGCTAACAACAGGTTTTACATTTAGATCACATTCAGCAAAAAGTAACCAGTGCAATTGCAGTGTAGTAAACTTCTTCATAGTTATCTAATAAATCTCCCAGAATAGCAAAAAGTTTTGGCTTCCCACCATAAAATTGTTAATTTTAAAGGAAATAATTTTGTATATTTTAATACTGTATATATATTAAGTACGTTCAAAAGAAAAGGAGAAGTTGCACGATTTTGAAAACACTGTAATCGCACTGGTTCCTTTTCGCTAAATGCGATCCAATTAGTCAACAGCCAAATATTCCCCCCAAAAAACTATTAGACATCGTTTACGTGTAGAATCTGATACAGAAAGGCGAATGGTACATCGAAAATCACAACTAATTTTCAAAGCAAATTGAAACACGAGAATGAACAAAGAGGATGAGATATAGGTAGCTGAACAAATAAAGAGAAAGATACGCGAGAGGGTATTTCTTACCGTGAGGTCTCATTGCTGTGACGTGATGAGGAGTATGGGGAGGTGGGGGTCGAATACCGTTTACTCTTCCTTGCCAAGTGGCAGTTTCTCTGTCTACAGCAAAAGAACGGGCTTCCAACATTGCTACCAATCTTCCTTAGAAGGTAGAAATTTTCTTATAAACGCTGCAAGAAACCATTTTCATTGAAATTCATGCTAGACCTAAATAGGACAAAAAAATTGAGCAGATTAGGTACCAATGACAAACTTCAAAAACAAAAGATAAAAATAACTGTTTTTGCCGAATCGATGGAGAAGCTGAGGGGCTGAAGACCTCCAATGAAAATTTTCTAAATTAAACCACATTTTCAGCATTAAGTCACCTACTAAGAAACATCTTCTGAAATCCATACAGTTCTTGGTATCGAAAAATGGAAGGCTTCCAACAGAGGAAGAGAGAGAGAGAGAAGAAAAAATTCTAGAAAAGTGAATGGAGCAAAAGATTTATTGTGCAGAAAAATATAGAGAACTTCAAAAAACACGGAGAGATTGAGACTGAATTATTTCAGGGATGAATCGAAAAGTTCACTCCTCATTTTTCAGTAAATTTTCCTCTGGTCACATAATTTTTAGAAAAAATTCTAATAAAAAATTTAATATATCACTCAGTGCTTATTATACAAAGTTTCCACCTTGTCCCAACTGAGACTTCCTTTGAGAACTGATTCACTACAGATTTACATCCTATCCAGTCAAATTGAACTTTCTATATACTGCAACACAGGTGTCTGTTCAACCCTGCTGTGTCCCAAACATCCAAAACTCTATTCTAATACCAAAAAGTGCATGAGCAATGCACACAACATAACCTTAAAGGGGCTCATACCTTAACATCTTAAATAGAGCTTAAGTTTGACAAAAAATCTTGCGAACAGTTTACATAAGTGAGAAGATAGATTTGAGTTCACAACATATCATGTTACGAACTACCTACTTGCGGACTTCTTGAAAAAAAAAACAAAAAACTGCGAGATACCTGTGTGGCAACTGTGTCTGACCAGATTACTCCTTCTATACACACTAAGTGCCATGGAACCAATTTTCTGACATAAATTTAGGGAGAAAATGTGCAATGTAAGTAAAGTATTAGCCTGGAATGGTCTCTCTTCACGCAGAGATTCCAAATGAATGGGTCAGAGACGCAAATACCTCAGTGTCTCAACCGAACATCTAAGCTATCATTAAGAACTTTGAAATACAGAGCTTAATGAATACTTGAGAGCTGTAAAGAAAGTGACAACACCAACTAATTGTACAAGCTACAATTGATTCTGGAAGTTTGAGGCACTGTCGAAGGTTCAGGACCAGAGTGCGGTCAAAGTCTGGCTATTATCATCTCTGGTTAGGCGACATGAGTAGACGAAGTCTGGACTTTAAATTTGAGTGTCAGACTTTAACTAAAACTTAGACAGTGACTAGTAAGTATCAGACATCCTAAAGGCATGATTTCATTTAAATATATCGCATACATCAGGTATCACACTATGGCACACAATGCAACAGAGAGGTCTAGATTCTTGGTGCATCTCCTCTACTTTCGGCTTTCCTCTCATTATACGACAGGGAGATTGATTTATTCGTACCTGCGGCACATATTCCGTACAATAATACAAGGAAAGATACAGTTCTAGATAAGATACCAATAATTTTGTATGGTAGATTAGTCTCCAGACTGACACTTACCATCCACCCCTGCTGCACGTCTCATGTAAGTGCACAAGGCTCGGCGATTCCGGAGCTAGGATTAAATGCGTATAAGCCACAAGATAGCGAATAATATGTAGAACTATGATACTCACATTAAGTAGATGCAGTTTTAATCAAAAAGTGACATTGATTAACAGGATCGACCAAGACGAAAACAACTTGGATAAGCTCATTACAGTCGTGATGTAAATAGAAAGGTGTGGGCGTCGCTTATCAGCAATCCAATGACCAATCAGATCTCTGGATTCTTTCTCCGTCATCATAAATAAAATGGCGACTTTTTGTGTGACGTCATCTATGGCAAGCTGTTGCCATATTTAGGATTGTTCTTCATAAGCAGTGAAAGGCGCCTGGACGGCCTGGAGCAGATTCAAAATCGAAATTTTATGATATTTCTCAAGAATTTCACTTGGCTAAGGTGATTTTTCTTTTCCATGAAAATTCAACAATTTTTCAGAGGCTGCGTCTGCAAACCGCTGTTAGCCGAGAATTCAATAGGAAACTTCAGAAGATTCAGTGGGTTTTTTTTTTTTTCTTTTTTTTTTATTTAAAAATTTACGATTTTATTATTTATTTGCGTTTCATGGCATACTGAGTCAAATACAGAAGTTTCAAAAATTCTTATGAAATGTCCCTGCCGCTTCGAATTTCGAGAGCGCCATCAGGTGAATCTCGGAGGAACGGGAGGGGGGGGGGCGGCGGCGGCGGCGGCTACAACATGACCTATCTTGAAAAATACCCCAAAATCGCGAACAATTTCCTGAATTAGGTGTGCTCTATAGTGATCTTCTCATTTTCCGTATTCTTCTCGAATCTGATATCATAGGAGAAGAAGAAAATATTCATGCTGACTGAATATAAAAAAGCCCCCCCCCCCCATGAGAGGGAAGAACCTTTGCAGGATACCTACCAAGCTCCATATTTTTAGCTTATTTTATTGATTGAAGAGTGCAATCCATGGTTCAAAGCTTTTGCTGCAATAAGGCCAAAAAACATTTCACTCTTTCAGGATTGCAGTCACACTTAGATACAAAATTAATGTGAAAATTCTATGGCAACCCCTGTAAACAAGATGTCTTTGAAGTTGCATGGGCATTTGTATGCAAGGGAGGTCATATAATTTCAGCACTGGTGATTGTTAGGAGCCTTGTACTTAACTTTCTCATCTCATCTTGATCAAAATGTAATAATAAGTAATCCAACATCGTTGAACTACTCACGGATGATACCACCTCTATTTCTATTTGACCTGTAAACCTGGAATCCCTCATTGGTTGATGGCTTTCATTTTCCGACCATTTCTTACCTCTAAATACTTTGCCCCTGAGAAATGAACACACAGTGCTAAAATTCTCCCCTGAAAATGAAAATTAGATTACGTTCCATCCTGCAAAATGCTAAGCAAGCGAGAAAAGTTATTGATCCAACCATGGCAGGAAAGAAGATACATAGATCATCGGAGAAAGGTTTGTTTGAACTTTCCATTTCAGATGCCTGCGTGCTTTCGACTGAAGGTCTAACCCTCTACCCTTAAGCGCTTCTCTTGGTATATTTCTTATGGCCAGAGGAGGTCAGTGCAATATAAGTCTTCATATTTTTCTCAAACTCTTTGATCTACTATTTTCTCTAATTTTTAAATGAGACCTAAAATTAGCAATGGACTAAGAGTATTCACTGAAGGGAGAGGGAATCTTTTTACAGATAGAATTATTCAATGCAACTGTGTTGGTTAGATAGGTAAAAACATCCCTTCTAGCAATGACCTTTTAAAAAATTTTGCAAAAACTCTAAAAAAAACTATTAACATTTATGTGCTGGGAAACTCTTTTTGGCTATTTTTTTAGGTAAAATTTACAAGAAGTACTTAAAAATGAAAGGAAAAAAGTGTTGAAAAAAAACTCTTAAAATACCACTGAACTTAGTTTTTGAACATTTTTTTTTTCAAAAATTGTTAGCGTTGAAAAACTACAGTTGATATTTAAAGAGTTTTTTAACACTTTTTTTTCTTAAATTTAACCGCTTGTAAATTTTACTTAAAAAAATAGCCAAAAAAGGTTTCCCAATGAGAGAATTTTAACAGTTTTTTTAAGAGTTGAAGTTTAAAGTTAAAAGTTTTTTAACAGTCATTGCTACTAGGAATGAAATTCTAAGAAAACGCATTTCACTTTCTTCATAGGTGAATTCTGCACTTCCAGCAATTGATGTGGAGCCCCCTGCCACTCGAGGACATGTGCTGTACAAGAGCAAGAAGCTACAAAAAGAATCTGAAAGATGTGCCCAGATCACAGAGGATAATTTCATTCTCATCAGACATCTTAGCGACATCATGCGCACACACAGAGTTGATAACTATTGGATACAGGAACCACCGACGTAAAAAATTAACTTTAAAACTTCTCATCCAGCCTAGAATCAAGTATCTTTGACAGCTATAGTAGCAGCAACTCTTAAAAAAACTTTTAAAAAACTGTTAAAATTCAAAAAGAGAAAACTCTAAAAAAAACTGTTAAAATTCTCTTGTTATAGAAACCCTTTTTGGCTATTTTTTCATGTAAAACTTACGAGCGGTAAAATTTAAGTAAAAAAGAACATTAAAAAACTCTTAAAATATCAATCAAGTTTTACAACGCTGAATATGTTTGGAAAAAATGTTCGAAAACTAAGTACAGTGATAATTTAAGAGTTTATGTTGACACTTTTTTCCTTAAGTTTAACTTCTTGTAAATTTTACTTAAAAAAATAGCCAAAAAGGGTTTCATAGTATGAAAATTTTAACAGGTTTTTTAAGAGTTTTTGAAGAATGTTTTTAAAGGTCATTGCTACTAGAGATGTGATAAATTTTACTTTGTGCATTAACAGAGTACGTGAAGGAAATTAAGATTAGATATGTTTAGGGCCAAAGATACGGATTGAGAGAAACTGCTAGATCTGGAAAACAATCTTTAGTGTCATAGTGTCAGGGATACAGAAAGACGTTGAGGAATACTGAATTTCAAGGTACTTTTAAAAAAGTTAGCCTTTTTTTTAAAAAAAGGTTGAGCAATTTTTGGAACTTCTTTACATTTTTTGTAACGGAAATAAAAACTTAGCAGGGTCAAATGAATTTGGGAAGGATCCAGCGAAAATTAAAGAGAGAAAACCTTCTTACACCCATATGAACTTATCGTAAAATACATGGTGTATTCAAGCTCCTTCCCTGCCCTAAAGTAAAGGATGGCTACCAGCGTAAATATTTGCTTCATTTCATAAAAAACTAAAATCACATAAGTAATTGAACCGACAGAAGAATAATATTTTTTTGGCTGATCCTTATTTTTTCCCCAATTATTAAATGTGTTTATTTTCAAATGTTTTTCAAGATTTTTGCACAAAGTGGGAATATACCAACAACCACAGGAGTCTGTTCTTCATAAGTCAAAAGCGATTCTTTTTGAACCACGGTTACAGAGCAGGAAGGAAAAGTGCTATGCTTGCGGTCCATTGCGATTCTTGAAAAAGGTATGTAAATTCATTATTTTAAACTATGTACTTTTAGTATGTAATTTTTCACTTACACTTACACATATAAGACACTAACAGTATCTAAATGGCAATTTCAACTTAAATTTTTTGAGTTGCTTCATTATAAATTTCAACAGAGACATTATTCCCTACGATACGTATGAAAATTCAGAAGCTGATTTAGGTGGGAGGCTTTAGGTTGATGATAGACTAATTTAGGGCCTATGTCATTTGATATATCGCCAATAAAATATGCTTCACTTATAAAATGCTGCTAAACAATCGGTATCAAAACTGTTCATTTATTCTAGGAGCCATTGAATAAACAAAATATTGAATGAGAGGGCCAAAAATCAGTCTGTTTGTATTGATTCCATTCTGCAATGAATCAATCAGATAATCTATAAATCATAAAGATATCAGAGCGTTCATTGCAGCAAACAGCACAAAATTCCATTGACTTCAGAAAAACTGACACATTTATATCACTGAAGGTAAAATTATTTGAACATTTTCTGATACTTCTTGAAATATGTTTTCAACTGGGATTAATTTGGAGATGCATTCAAGTCTTGTTTGAAAAAAAAATCTTAATTATAAAAACTATCAGTTTCTTTGCTATTATTTTTGTTTGTAGTTTTTGTTGATGCTAATGCACAAAAAAATGCTTTCAGGAAGTTATACCAGAGGAAAGAATCCCATGGGATCCAGACCAACAAAAAGTGGAATTTAGAAAATCTTTGGCTTTATCAGAAAAGTCAAAACAGGTAGGCAATATTGTCGCTTGACTCACAAAATGACGTAACTACAGCATTGCATTGTGTGGACAACAGTGTTCACTTTTAAGTGTAGCTACGTCCTTAAGTCAGAAGGGCGACAGCATGTATAAAACACTGATTCTACAGAGCTTGGGGACTGAGTTAAATGATGGAACAACTTATCTTCCAGATGGTTCATTCATTTCTAACGCTTTCATGATAGATCTGGGCTAAACGTTCTGCTCCAACTTAAAAGAGAATGGTAACAACATGTTTTCATTCAAGATTCACTTGCTTGAAAGGAAGCAAGTTGAATGAGTGTGCTTTGGGAAACAAATTCTTCTCTACATTTAGACCACCTACCTAACTTTCGGTCAAGAGTATTTTGATCTCTAAAGCACTGCTTATCTACAACAAAATATTACCTACTGTATTAATGAGATAAAAGAACTGTTATTATAGTAAACAGAGAAAACAGTAAATCCTTGGATTTTATTGACAGTGAAATCAGATAAGTGGAGGATACATTTCATCCAAGTACTCTGAAAGTAAATACTTTCTGTCATTATGATATTATTTCATACAAATATTTCGTTTGTTTTTAAAAACTTGACACTGGTCTTCTTCATTTTTTTTTGTTCTTTGAGAGGCATTATTCTCTTTCAGTTTGATTTATAATTTTGCCCGCTTTTTTTAAGGATAGATTAAGATCATTGTGACAACAAAAATTCTTCTGAAAAAATATCAAACTCTCACAAAATCCATCTTATTTTGCAGTTGGAAGTGGTCAGAGGTGACATCGACCTGCCAGAATTTCGAGGACAAACATGGTCACCTGTTTCGCATGATAATAAAAGGAAAAAAAACAAAGGCAAAACCAAAGTACAAAAACACCAAAAACTTCCCGTTAGCAAAGTGGATTTTGATACTTGTAGTAGTCACTGCATAGAGTTGACACAAGGACCCTTGAACTTATCGGTAACTTTCCCCACAAAAACAACTGTTGTGTACAAAGTAGGGAAAAACAAGCGTATTTTACATACGGATCAATGCCAATGTACAGCTTTTCACCAAAAACCGAAATAAAAAACAAATTTCAAAGATATCATCTTTTGATTTAAAATATTTGGTCACAACTATCAACATGGGGTCTTAAGCCACTCATGCAGTGCTTTCTTTGCTCATTAAACATTATTCACAACCGATGTAAATTTCCAGTAAATTTTGAGGCAGAAATAAACAGAAAATTAAATGAGGTCATTAAGTACCACCTTGGAATGATACCATTGAATGCGAAAGTATTAAAATCCAGATTGATAAAACCTACTAGGCAATAAGAAAATAGTTTTTGATGCTATTCTGTTCATAATTCTTGTGTTGTCAAAATTCTAGTAGGAAGATTGCTGAATGTAATGCTGCAATTCATGATCAAAAAACCGTAGGAACACACTGAATAGTACCCTTGAATGAAACCTTAGAAAAACCATTAGGATCAAAAATAACTGCAAATTACGTTTTAATAAATTTATTCAAAATAATTGAAATCATGTAATATAAAAATTAAAAATTTTCATACATTAATTATTTAATTTCAAGGAAAATACATAAATTAATAATTTATGCTTGAATCGGACTTGCTTGAAACATTGTGTGCCAGGGCTCATATGCTGAAAGCAACCAATTAAAAGAAGGGAAAATACAGTGTCTACTTCAACTGAAACTTTGATTGATATTTAATCAATATTAAGTGATATTCATGACTTGAATCATACCTCTCTTCAAAGAAAAAAGCAATGAGAACTGAGTAAAGTTATCAGTGCAAAACCAAGCAAAGATGGGAACTATGTGAAACAATTTCAACACTTTTATAAAGCTATAAAACCAAATCATGATATGAACAAATACTTTCAGAAATTTTAACCAGTGATTCAATCAACTCGCCGCAAACTAGCAACAATACAACTTACATGGTTTTCAAATGAAAAATTGCAGAAATCTAATAGAATTCAGTAAAGGGNNNNGAAAGAAACAGGAAAAAACAGTAACAAATGATCATTAATAAAAAAATAAAAATAAAAAAACCAGAGCTCACCAGAAAAAGTAAATGTACGAAAATGAAAGGACTTAAGCAGCCAGAGGAGGCACAATAGGTTGCAGTTTTCATGCACTGAAAATATTATTGACCAACAAAAAAACTCAAAAATAGAAAAAGTGTTATTGCTCTGGTGGGGAAACGCAGATTTCACTCGCTTCATAAATCTGAAGTCTTGAAAACAGAAATTTTCCATTCTAAATGTTAGTTGATTGCATTATAAACTGATTATAATTTTTAAACAGCTAATTTCACGAGGTTATTTACAATACATAGATTGTTAATTTTGCTGAGTACTGAGCTTGTCATCAATACCGCTATCGAATCGGAAGATAACAATTAATAGTCAGAAAACATTTACTAGAGGGGTGATTGCTCGGTTATCAATGAGATTTGATATAAAAATTGCTCAGTCTGGAAACTAGAGCTTAAAATTTCCATTGAGATTCCAATTAAGAAAAGGATCACTATTCTGTATGGCATTGAAAAACTTCTCAACTTTTAAAAGAAAAAAAATTTGCAAATTAACTCCAAAGAAGGCGTTGCCTACTGCGATGAGAGAATTTGACATGAACGGCTTTAGCAGGGGCTGAATCTGCCTCATTAATTAGTAAAACCACAAAGATTCCAGCTCCTGAGAGAAAGAGCTAGGTTTCATCAGTCTTTTTTAATGAAGCTTTTTCCTGTTCTCTTCAATAATGTGAAATTTTGCGGAAATTCCATGGTTCTACAGTACTCATCAAGGTAAGTGGTCCGAATACTATTTTATAGCAATAAAAAATAGTGAAAAAGAGTTTACCACAATCAGGAACAGTTTATAACGAGGGATATTTCTAAATTTTAGAAGCACGGGTGGTTTTTGTGCTGCCTAAAGAGGCTTTTGTTGCTAATTTACAGTGACCAGTCATGCTTGGTTTTACATTTAAGATGTCAGTATGCTCCTTAAGTCTTTGAGTGCATAGCATGTCAAAATTACAGTGAGGGGAGGGGGGGGGGGGGG